TAGGTAAAACCATATTTCTCTCAGGATTGCAGAAAATAATCTTGGAGAATGGGAAGAGTGATATTATGGTATATTTTTAGAGGCCAGGAATAATATTTTTACTGACAGAAAAGATCAAGAAACAGGTGACAAAATTGAAACTACCCTGCATGATTTTTGTTGCAACAGTGAGCTATCTGGTACCTTCCAGAAGTTTTGGGCGCCAATGCCCATGCTCTTTTGACATTGGCTTTCTTAAAATTGTGGTTAATGATAGTTGAAAATACCTGAATAATTTTTTATGCCCGCATTTGTTCTAGAGAACTTCATCTCATCCAGGATTGCCCTGAAGCCTATGACTGGGATCTACCACTGGATTTTTATTTGTTCCCTATGATCTTTTTCTTCCTTTTGGCTTCAAATAATTAGAAATGAGAGTTATTCCTGCAGCATTTCTGGAAAGCAGTAACGTGCAACATTTTACTTAGTTGTTTAGTTCTCAGCTTTACAAAGAGAGAAATAAAAATCTCACAAGATACTAGGAAAATGCAAACAGCATGTGAATAGATTGTTGCCTATGATGTTGCTGAATTAAAGCTGGGGAAAAAAACACCCAGCTGTGTTCACTTGTTCAGTTTTGTGAAGATATGAATACAGTTGGAATGTGGACTATTAGAACTTTGAATCAAGGCAAATGATGTTATCAGAACAGAAACATCAAGACTGACATCCTGAAAATCAGTGAACTGGGCTAGACTGGACTGGGTTACTTCACAGATTTAATGTGGACAGGAAAATCCTAGAAATGGAGTGACCTTTAAAGAAAAGATGGCAAAGGCAATGAATGGATACAAGTCATACAATACCAGATCAATGGATGTCAAACTTTTTTTCTTGACACTCTCCAGTGATGGAGAACAGGAGGCAGACTGATCTCCAACACAATGTCTAATCAATATTACAGGGCTCCAAAACTATGTTCCAATTAAAATACAGAGGAAGAACTTAAGAGTTCTATTCTGATATATGGTATCTTGCTGACACAATATCAAAAATCAAAGACTTCATACTAAAGTGGGAAGTAAAGTAGAATCTGAAATAATGGGAATATTTGGTGCACAAAAGGAAGTGGAAGATACTCCGTAGACTCCCCTCCCCCCCAATTTCATTGTTTATAGGGAATACCTTTTCACAAAGGACTAAAAGATACCTCTATTCATGGAGATGGGTAACACCAAAATCAAATTCAGTATATTCTACCCAAGCAAAGTTGGAAGAGCTCTGATCAATTGGCAAAGCAAGACTTGGGCTGACTTAGGCTCAGATCATAATTTTCTGCTTGCAACTTAAACCAAACAATGAAACAAAATAAATTAAAAAATCAAGCTGAGAACTCAGCAGTGTTTAATATGATTATGTGGTGAAACTAAAGACTAGATTAAATGGATTTGACTAATAAATGCACCAAGACAAATTCCTTGTGTGTCCAATCACACTTGGCCAATAAAGCTATTCTATTCTATTCTATTCTATTCTATTCTATTCTATTCTATTCTATTCTAAATAGAGTGCCTGAGGAACACTGAATTAACATTGGTGATTGAAGGAACAGAGGAAGCAAACAAAAATATCCCAAAATGCAAAGGAAGGTTAATGACAGTCTGCCAATATATTAAAAGTAGCTGAACAAAGGAAAGGCAACAGTGACAGGAATTTACCTGAATAAACACTAAGCTGTAGAGAAGAGCAAAATACAAGGCATTATATCTAAATATGTAATGCAAAGAAACTGAGGATCAGAATCAAATGGGAAAGGCAAGAGATTTGCTTAAGACAGTTAAAGAAATCAAGGGACTTTTTTAATGCAAAGGTGGCCGTGCTGAAAGATAGAGAAGGCAAAATTCTACTGGAGAAAGAAGACATGCAAGGAGAGGGTGTGAATATATGGAAGAACTGTACAAAACCCCTCCAAAATCAATGACATGTACAGTATAAAGATTTAATCATTGAATTACAGCCAGGCATTTTGTTAAACAGACCCTAGAATATACTATAATACTCACAACAAAGCTGCAGGAAATGATGAAATACCAGCCAAACAGCTTAGTTTATGCAGTGAAAGTGCCACTTGCTGACTGAAAGCAGCTGTGGAAAATGCAGCAGTGGCCAAGAGATTGAACGAGATAGTTTTATTTTCCAATATAAAAAAAAAGGCAATGCTAAGGAATGCTCAAACTGCAAACAACTTATCTCACATGCTAAAAAGATAACGCTCAGGATTTTGTACTTCATCAAGACAGGGAAGCAAAACTGCCAGATGTGCAAGCTGAACTCAGAAAAAAATTGACATCATGTTGGAAAATGAAACATTTCCAAAAAAAAATTATTTATTTTAACTTTATTGATTATAGCAATAGCACTTAGACTTATATACTGCTTCAAAGTGCTTTACAGCCCTCTCTAACCGGTTTACAGATCAGCATATTGCCCCCAGCAATCTGGGTCCTCATTTTATCGACCTCAGAAGGATGGAAGGCGGAGTCAACCTATCATATTATTTTATATTAAGCTTTTGACTGTGTATACCACAATAAATTGAGGATTAATTAAAAAAAATTAAAATGAATGCACCAAGTCACCTTATCTACCTACTAAAGAATACATATCATGATCAGAAAGCAAGCATAAGAACAAATAATATTAAATAGAGGAAAGATAGACTGCTTAATGGAATAACTAATCATAAAACTCAATAATATAACAGCAAGAATCATTGGAGAAGACCTCAGTAATTGGAAAATTGAAGGCAATTAAAAAAAATATGCCTGACCCGATTGCTAACAACACAAGCATGATATCAAAAAAACTTGATGAAGCAATTAGTGACAGTAGTAGAAAAACAATATCCCTTAAATCACAAAGAACCAGAACAAAAGCAATATTTAGAAATGTGCATTTTATAAGAATGATATTTTCAAATATATATTCATATATGCATTTAGATACAAATTTAATTTAATGTACAACAGGAATAATGGATTTTTTAAAATTAAACACATGAGATCCAGAAATAAATTAGGCAGACTCATCCAGCTACCAAAGGCTACCTAATGAGTTTGGACAAATGTAAAATTGTACTTAAGGATTTAGTACTTAAATACTTTACTCTTTGGAATTTCTACTTCCGTTAGACTAAATTGACGGAAGGAATGGCCATCATCTCTTTGTCTGATTGCTCGTTTATTAGATTCACATCCCATTTTTTTCCTATAAGATCTAAAAGTGATGTACTTAGCAATCCCTCCTCCCATGTTAAGTTTCCATGGTTGAGAGTGGTATTTCCTGCCTTAATGAAACAGTACTTTAACCACTACACCATATGGACTTGGTCTGGTGATGCTCCAATAAAGTGAGATTTCTAGGATGAGGTATTATCAGCACCTGCCATTTTAAAACCATATCCATGAAAGCTGCAGAAATGAAACCATGTTGCTTCCAACTTCTGTTTTACGAATGCTGATACTGACTATTCTCTGGTCCTTCCACTGAAAGTTGGATGAGTTTATTTGATACTCAATAAAACTTTGTATTTGAGAGTAGATACATGTGTATTAATTGATATATCTAGTTTAATGAAAAGAAGGACTAGGAGTGACATGATAGCAGTATTCCAATATCTAAAAGACTTCCACAAAGACGAGGGAGTCAACCTATTTTCCAAAGCACCTGAAGGCATGATGAGAAACAATGGATGTAATCAAGGAGAGAAGCAAACTAAAACTAAGGAGAAATTTCCTGACAGCTAGAACAATTAATCAGTGGAACAACTTGTCTCCAGAAGTTGTGGGTGTGTCAACCCTGGAGGTTTTTAAGAAGAGATTGGACAACCATTTGTCTGAAATGCTATAATGTTTCCTGCCTGAACAGGGGATTTGACTAGAAGACCTCCAAGGTCTCTTCCAACTCTGTTATTCTAATAATATATGTAATATATGTAAAATTAGACATCACAGTGTGTTCTCCCTTATCTCCTTGAGGTTCCTCACAAAGCATCTCCTGCAGCAGCTGCAAGAGCCCAAGCTTATCTGCAAAAAGTCCCAGGTTCCCCATGTTGGACTAGATTCCTGTCTCAAACGCTGGAGAACTCCAGCACATCAAAGAGCGTTAATGCAGAATGAAGATGAATGAAAAATCAGCAGACAGCAGCTTCCTAAAGGTATTCTTCTGCTTGCAGAGCTATGCACTTTAAGTGCATGAGGAGGATAAGAACCAGCCGAGAATACAGGACACATAAACATTGTGCATTTTGGGGGCTTATCTCATTTGGCCCGCTCAAGAGTTAATCCCCGTACCCAAAGGAGTTCTGCTCAATGTCACAGTAGTCAGTATTTTCTAATCCTGATCCCAAATCCACTATAGCTGCTGTAAAATATATAGGAATAATTTCCTGAGTCAGGGTAATGTATAAGGAATGTCAAGGCAGACTCTGGGAATATTTGCCTTAACTTTGTTTTATTAAAATGAAAGTTTTATTAAGGCATGTGGTGAACTGAGCAGTCCAGATGATTCATGTGGTTATAAACTCGTTACTACACTCCCCATAAATCTAAGAGCCATTGTCCAAAATTTATTCCCTCAAAACATTTTACCATGGTGAGGGAGGCAGACTAGAAATTCTATTTTGGCTGTAGGAATCATTCAATGCTAAGATTACTTAACATGTTCATAATGTAGTTCAAATGAATCATTTTTAAGTTTTTTGGGAGGGTGGGACATAGTATCACAAAAGGAATGTGCTCTAAGAACCCAGTGTTGTAAGACTGTTATAACATAACTGTTATCCTTTTTCCCAATCTCAAATAATGTCATTTCTCACACAATCTCTCCCCTTCCACAACCTTGCGAGACTCTGTTGTTTTACACTGTCATGGTAAATGCCTAACTGTATAACCACCCTGGGCATCTGGCCCTGCAGGGGTTAACTTACCACACATCCCATCACTCCCATAGCCAATCCTTACCTCCTGGCCCCTCCTCCTAGGTATAAGAGCTCTCACCACGAGGTACTCCAGTTGTTCCAGATGTATACCTGAAAGAGAAAGGTTTAAGGTCAGTGACCTACAGTGCCACAGGGCCTAGGATTCACCTAGGCCTGCAATAAAGGAATTTAATTGAAGAACAGAATTTGTCTATGAGTTATTGGGCTAGATCCATCATTGAACATACACAAGCATCTCAGCAGTATCAGCTCAAAACTGGACCCTCACAAACACACAAACAAGCAATTACAAAGAGCTCCAAAACCTGCAGTTTAAGAACTATTGCATTATAATGTGTTTGACTGTTTAGCTCTACCAGTCTTAGGCCCATTGAAAGATCAACCTAGGAGCAATTGGATTTTCTTATAGAAGATCCCAGATTCTGACCTCAACAAGAGAAATAAGGCAATCCAGCATGGAGAGTGGCTTTCCCTAAGATCGGGAAACTCTGACGTTGCCACCCTCAAAATAGGATATGGTAAAAGTTGGGTAGGGACATACCAAGGGAATCTCATATAGATAGCTCTCTCTTATACTCCCAGCCTGGGGAGCAGGTGGAAGGGTTCAGACCAGCCTTTCCTTCCCGGATTTCCCTTTTATTATGAATTGTGGGAGAAAACTTTGAGTTCTTCTTCATCCCTTGGAGCAGAGGTTTTCATACCTTTTGAGACTGTGGAACTTGTTCATGAAAGACAAAATTCCTGGAACCCTTGATCGAAAGCGGTGAGGCTCTTGAATGTCAAATGGCACGCCCCACGGTTTCCACTGTATGTTAGTACCAGTGGTGGGTTGCTCCCACTTCTGTGCGGTTCTATAGAACTGGTAGTAAAACCGGCAGGAGGCTCTGCCCACCTGCCACAATGTCATCATGGGTGATCTGTGCATGCGCAGAAGTGCGCGCGCTCCCACTGCGAACCGGTAGTAAAGGTAAGTAGAACCCACCCCTAGTTAGTACTAATGGATTAAAAAAAAATCTTGCCACAGTGTACTATATCTTATTTCCACCCCCCTCCCCGCTCCCTTGTGGAGGGATTTTTTCCCTCCTTTTAGTCCTTAGAAGAAAATTCTCCACAAGGAACTAGGGAAGAAAAACATTCTATAAAATATGGATAATTTTTAATCCTTCACAGATTTTTTTTCTCCCTTAGTCCTTGGGAAGAGTTTTTTCTCACAGATGAAGAGAAAACAACTTTCTGTAAGAGACTAAAGGGGGAAAAATACCTTGTCCCCTGTGTAGGTCTCTCCCCCTACCCCAACTGTAGAACCTCTTCAAATCCTCACAGAAGCCAGTTTGAAAAAAAAATCCACTTTATGATCACCTGTCTACCCTGCTAACAGAATAGTTTGCAAAGCACACAAGGCTTATTTTGGAGTAAAGGACAGACAACATCTTTGGAGCTGGCCTGGTTTTCTATCAGCATAAAAGAGAAGACACCATTTTAATACTTGGGAGAGCTAATGACATTTGAAGTCAGTCTTGGACATAAGCTGAGGACAGGAAGAAGTCAAAGTCATGGGGATGCATGAGAAGTATGAGATCAGCAGCTAATGTTTATCCCACAGCTCAATGCAAGCTTTGTCTGCCTTATTTATTCCAGGAAATGACACTCCTTGCCTTTTCCCTGCACCTATTTATCCCTGTCTGTGCCATTACCCTTATATTGGAAGATATGTCCCTATTTGCCGGCCATGATTTCTAAGCAGAGAAAAGGAAAGAAAAGCCCTTTTGGCACAAACAACAGAAGAGATTACCATAGTTATCTTTTTATTTGTAATTTTTAGATTTATCATTTATCCTCAGCAAATTCCAAACAATCTACAATCAATTAATTATTAATTATGCCATTAATAAGAGTAGTCATAAAATATCAGAGAGTCTTTTTGATGTAGTGGTTAAGGCATCTGGCTAGAAACCAGGAGAGCAGGAGTTCTAGCCCTGTCTGAGATATGAAGTCAGCTGGATGACCTTAGGCCAGTCACGCTCTTTCACCCCTTGGAAGGAGGCAATGGCAAACCATATCTGAAACCTTTTTTTTTCTTTTTTTAAAATTTGATTTATATGCCGCCCTTCTCCGGAGACTCAAGGCGGCTTACAATGCGTTAAGCAATAGCCTTCATACTTTTGTATATTTATACAAAGTCAGCTTATTGCCCCCACAATCTGGGTCCTCATTTCATCTACCTTTGAAAGGAGGTGAAATTTGAGTGAGATTTGAACTTGCAGTAATTGCAAGCAGCTGAATGTTAATAACAGTGCTTTAGTCCACTGTACAACAGGCTCTTTTTTTATTGTAGTTTTAATGTGACAGAAGTGAACCATTCTTTTTTTTAAAAAATAATAATAATTATTAAACATTTTTTTAAAAAAACAAAAAGAAAGCTTTAACACTTTTTCTGTTTCAACAGTTTCGCATCAATCAAAAATTTCACACTTATACATTTTTCCTCCCTTATTTCTACTATATCTTTTATACATATACTTCTAATATTTATTTATTTACATATATACATAAAAATACCCGTGTACACACTTTCATTTCTACAATTTTTGTTCCCTCATATTTGCAATTATATTTCTATTCCTATTTCAACCATTATTTAATTTTTCCTTGCCTTTTATCTCTCTCCTCCAACCATTCGTACCATTTCTCCCATACTAAGTAATATTCTGTTTCCTCTTTTTCTTGTATCTGCTTTGTTAATTTGTCCATTTCCGCACATTCCAAAACTTTTCTGATCAGATTATCTTCGGATGGTATATTATCATTTTTCCAATTCTGAGCGTAGATTATTCTTGCTGCTGAAATGAACCATTCGTAAATGCATAGGCAGCAGCAAGAACATTAGTTGCATATAGTGTGACTTTTAATTATGACTCCACCCATTTCTTTGTTCCAGCCCTGCCTTCCTAGCATTTGCTATGGTAAAAGTTGTAAAACAAAAATGGATGCTTATAGCAAACACAATTTTGATTTTTTTATCAGACTGGTTATCGTCCCCAAGAGGGTCGGTTGGCAACACATGCAATGGAACCAGAAACACACTATGCATTAGCCAGTTTTAACTCTTATTCTCTGGCATTGCACAACACCTGCAGTGTAGTTTAGCATTCATCAACATCTGTTCACTAGAGTAAGTTCCCGGAGGGGAACAAACTTGGACGGAGAAGAAAGAGGGCTCGTCCTCTGTTCTAATTATTCATATCCTACCATCCTAAGTGGCTGTACTTGGTGCATGTTTTCTTAGGGTAAGATTTTCCATACTCGTAGCCTTTCTCCAATGTACAATCAACGGGGAACTTCCTTGCTGCATATGACCTTGTATGTCTTTCAGCAAGTTCCAAAATACAAATACAAAATCCAGCAGTTGGAGGTTCTACGTGGATTTGTAACTCTCTTTGGGAAAAGCTGGGCCCATGATGCACTGCCCAGAATGCTTTCAACAAGGCATAAAGAAATTCATAATCAACGTTTTTATTCTGGAGCAAAAGTACAGCACACAGGAAATTCAAATAAGCAATAATGAGCCAAAATCCTCCCGAAGGATCAAATCCAGAGAAGCAGGTATAGCTAAATCTTATGAGACTACTTCTGTAAATAAATTAATCCAAGACTCATCAATGCACAAAGAAGCAAAGGATTTTACCCTATTACTCACCAAATTATCATACTTACTAGGATAAATTTGAAATGTCATTCCCTACCGTAGATCTCATAGGGCAGGGGTCCATGGACTGGCACAGATGTGCAGCATGTCAGAAATCGTGGTGCGGCAAACAAGCAAAGCCCCATCCACGAATGCAGGGAGCACAAGAAACCAACCCCCTCCAGTATGCAGAAAAACCTCTCTCTATGGAACCGGTCCCCAGTGCCCAAAAGGCTGGGGGTCGCTGTAATAGGGCATCTACTTTTGATTTCCTACCCCTGTTCAACTATGACCATGCTTTTTAAATGTACAGGGGAGACAAAGGTTCGTGCTTGTATACTACCCAATCGTGCCATCAGTTAGTAAGGTTTTGAAATAGAACGTTGAGATTTTGTATTATCAAATATATTTTGAAATCTTCAATGTTACAGGAGCATGTAAGAAACCTATGAGTTCAAGAAACTTATAGAAAAGCAGCTCCTGATCTATAAAAGCAACATTTACATAAATATAAAGGCAACTGCTTGATACCAACATTTTTGTACTACTTGTGATGACCCGTACTAGGGTATATAAAGCATAGGTCTTTTTCATCATCTGTCACTTGAGTTCTTCCTTTATTCCTTAACTCATGGCAGTGAACATATCCAACCCATCTTCTGTCTCCTTTTTTCTCCACAACAATAATCCTATGAAGGTGGGTTGGCTGAGAGATATTGACTGGCCCAAAGTCACTCAGCTGGCTTTCATGGCTAAGGTTAGACTAGAACTCAGGGTCTCTGGCTTTCTAGCCTGGTGTCTTAACCACTGGTGGGTTTCAAATAATCCCACCATTGATTTGCCGAAAATGCGAGCGGGCAGGCAGGGGTGGGGCCAGCCAGAGGTGGTATTTGCTGGTTCTCCGAACTACTCAAAAATTCTGCTACAGGTTCGCCCGAACTGATACGAACCGGCTGAATACCACCTCGGGTCTTAACCATTAGATCAAACTGACTCTCTTTAACTATAAATGTGCCTTAACCATTAGATTAATTTAATTTAATTTAATTTAATTTAATTAATCATATTCCTATGCCGCCCAACTCCCAAGGGACTCTGTAAATTTAACCATAAATGTCAGGAATTTCATTCTACATAAAAATATATTTTTCTAGTTATGTTCCATTTTGGAAGGAAAAGCTAATTTTAATCAAAATGATTGTAATTGCTCACAATTATTTTATTCATTAATTACTCATAATTATTTTAAAATCTCAATCATTTTTCAAAATGACTTGGAATTGTAGGCCAATGCACACACATGCTTGAAAAATCACAGATTGAATTGATCGCTTTCATACCATCTACTGTTGTTTCTTAACACTTTTTAAAATGGAAAAAATCAACTTAAGAAGCAACTGGCAAG